ATCTTATCTCAGTTGATAGCATTGTTGTCCACCTTATAGCCCAAACCAGAAGCAGAGACTTCATCCTTATCTCTTCCTTCTCCCCCACTTCCCTCATCCAATTGGTAACTAAGTCCTTTAGATTGCAACTCAAAATAACCTTAGGTTGGTTTCTTTCCTTCCATCTCTACTGAAACTGCCCCAGTCCTTGCTGCCATTACCTCCCACCTTGCTTGACAGAATTATCTCCCACCTGGTGCTTCCACATCTACTCTGCTTCACTCTAATCCATTTTATTTCCACATCTACCTGGCTTCCACCCATTCTTCATGCAAAAGAATTGAGTAGGCAAGTAGAGTTTTGAAATGTCATTTTCAAAATTAATAAGGATGTGTATCTATATATATGCCTACTGTATGTATACAGAGAATATGCAAATTTTAAGAATCACTTCTCCCACAGCTGAGCTGCTGTCACCTTGGGGGTGGAATCTGGCAGCTGTTCTATCATCCATAAACAGCTTTACTTAGCTTATTAAGATAGGACATGCAGAACAAGGCTATATCCATGAGTATCTGCCTTAGAGACTTCTTTTGCAAGTTTTATAAGTTGGATTTTGGCTATAATGGGGAACTTAGCTGAAAACTGCCTAAGCCATAATGGGGTCAAAAGTATCAGCAAAAATCCTTTAATAATAAGAATGTTTTAAATTATAGTTTGGCATCAAAGTGAATATCCCAGTATCCTCTCTCCAGTAAAATCGAAGTTGGCAAGGCTAATAAACTAGGGGAGGTGAAGTATGAAGAACCACACCAACCAAAGGACTTGGGGCAGACTGAACTTGAAAACAGATAAATCATCCATTGATCCTAAACTGAAACATCACTAGGAAAAAAGTCATTTTCCAAATATGCTGAACTTTGGCCAATAGTCTAGGACATTTCTTATTAAAACATTACCACATACCCCAGAGAGTTCTCTGATCTTCAGACAAATTACAGATAAAAATCAATCTGACACCATTGCTATTTGCTTTCAAATCAAGAAAAATTTAATGAATGCCTACAAATTTTACCTGCCCTCAAGGAATTTACAGACTAGCAGGTGGTTGCTGGGGGCTTGTAAGTAGAAATAAAATGAGTAAGTAATGCAAGGCAGTATATGAAAAGATTGATCCAGGATGCCAGCTCAGAAAGGAAAACCTCATCCTTGGAGAGGAGGGACCAGGAAAGGTTTTCTGGTGTTTCTTTTCTTTTTTTTTTTTTTAGATGGAGTTTCACTCTTGTTACCCAGGCTGGAGTGCAATGGCACGATCTCGGCTCACCGCAACCTCCGCCTCCTGGGTTCAGGCAATTCTCCTGCCTCAGCCTCCTGAGTAGCTGGGGTTACAGGCACGCGCCACCGTGCCCAGCTAATTTTCTGTATTTTTAGTAGAGACGGGGTTTCACCATGTTGACCAGGATGGTCTCGATCTCTTGACCTCGTGATCCACCCGCCTCGGCCTCCCAAAGTGCTGGGATTACAGGCATGAGCCACCGCACCCGGCGTTGGTTTTCTGGTGTTTCTTATCTCCCTCAGAATGTATGTGACATAGAGCCCTATTCTACCAGGATCAGAGAATTGTTTAGTGTATTTGAACTTGTAGCTTACCATTTTTTAAAAAGTCCAATACCTTTTAAAGGGAGAAAGAATTGCCTAGGTTTTTAGCTACTGAAACCAAATGGATGATACACCTAAAGTCAAAAGATCAAAACTTTACTTCTGTCTTTTTTTTGGACAAATTAGAGGAATTTAGATTTCTGAAGTCAAGGGCTACTGTGACGAAGAAGTCAAGGTTGAAAGTATCTGGTACAGTGGAGTCTCTTTATAATGCCAGTACTGGAGGCAAAACTATCATCTTCATTTGAGGCTATAAATGGTTACTGTAACTTCTCAGGGACATGATAACCTATGCATACACAATCAAATCTGTATCATAATGAGGAGTGTAATTTGTTATAATGACATAGAAAACTATGCTCTAGTCCAAGTGGCAATTAACTGAGGATTCTCCAGCTGCTGCTCAGGGTAGCAGCCATCTCTCACCGGCCATCTCTCTCCACCAGGGCACAGCTGGTACATTGTTCCATGCAGCAACAACTTTGTGGGCCCCATCCCCCATGACCTCTAGCTCAGTATTACTGAATGCTTACCGTAACAGCGCTTCACATATTAGAACACCTGGATAAAACCACAGCTGCTGGTAGAGCAGGCCCTTTCCATAATGCCTACAGACAAGCTAGTTTTTCTTACTTTAAAAATAATTAACAATAATCATGATACTTACCTAAACTTTGCTATGATCCAAGCCTTTCCCTTCCTGGTCAAAATTCTCCCATAAACCACCCATATGGCCTCATCTGCTATACATTGTAATCTCTTATAATATGGTTTCTATTCCCAGTTTCTCCTCATTCATTCACTCATTCCTTCATTCATTACAAACACACATCTTTCAAATGTCTACAATGTGCCAGGCTCTATGCTAGGTGCTGGGGATACAGAAGGGAACAGAGACCTAGTCCTTGTCTTCAGGAAGTTTGCAGTCTAAAGAGAAAAACTCTACTGAAAATAAACTTTTCAAAGAAGCCATTAACCTTGCCCCAATTCCCAGGCTGGAAGCATGCAACAAACATTTTTTAAGTTCCCTACTATGTGTAAAGCATGGTTTTAGGCACATGGAGATCCAGAACCATAAGGATTCTTTCCCTTCAAGAATCTTTTAGAAGATTTGACATTTATACAGATAACCTAAATAAACTAGAATATATTATTAAGGACCATGATAAAATTCAAATTGAATGATTTATAAGTTAGAGAGGGAGAAACAGAACTCTTTAAGCTGTGAGAATCAAAGAAAGCCCTTTGGCTGAGGCAGCATATGAGCTGCTCCTGATAATTACAGAGAACTCAAAGTGCTCCACTGATTTGGTCTTAGTTGTTCTCTCATCATTAAGAGATTATTTAAAGATTGGGAAGTATTCACTGCATTTTATAGACATGAAAACTGAGTCCTAGATAGGTCATCATTTGTTTGAGGTCCCTCAATAAATAGCACAGCATGCTACAAGATGCCCTGTTCCCCGCTTCTCAGGCTAGAGCCTCATCCATCAGACATAACTGCCTCCAGAACAGACATCGCAGTTCCATGGGATAATTGCATTTTAATTGAACTGTCTGTATGACTCTGTAAATGCCTCTGTACAGATGGAAGAATGTTTAGCTTGATAAATAAAATTATTTCTGCTAATAATTGCTTTCATGCAAGGATTATGGATCTAACTTCTGGGAGAAAGTGCCACTAAAAAGAGTGTGCTGAGATTCATTAATTTTTTTTCTTAGTAATTCCACAATTTGAGATGAATGTGGACTGCCCAGTATATTCTCATATAGAAAATCAGTGCACCTGCAAATGGGTGTGTGGGTGACTTCTGTTTTTAGTGCTTGGGCTACAATTAGAATGCGATGGAATTTTATATTTTCATCTTCCATGTAAATAGCTTGTGTGGGAGGGGTTTGTCCGCAGTCAGGGTAACATGGCCAGACACTACACCACAGGGTTTTCACTGGATTTACATGCAGTCATGTGGTTTCTTTATGGTGTTTGCCCCACTTTGGGAACAGGAAATGTTGGCATTAGGTCACTAGCTTCCATCCCATTGAAAAGTCTTGAAGAGCTGGAAGATAGGACCACGCTGCAGACCATACAACCTGTGGCATAGCTAAAGCATTTCTTACTCTGGGCTTTCCTTCCTTATCCTTCTCACCTGTCTCTTCTTACCACCTCTCTTCCTAGACTCTAGAGAGGCAAGATGCCCTAATATGTTTAAGCTTCCATCAGACTACATGGTTCCAGCCCTGGCACTGCTAAATTTTTCCTTGGCAAGTTATGAAACCTCTGTGACCCCAAATTTTCTCAAACATAAAATGTGGCTGATAACAGTACTGTTTTAGATGGTTCTGAGGAACAAATGTCCATGTAAAGCATTTAGCACAGTACCTAGCACATTTTTAGTGCCTGGTGAGTACTGTCTAATTACCATTATTGTTCTGTACTCATCCCATCATTCCCTTCTCTCTTTCGTTTTTTTCTTCTTTCTCTTATCTGTGCATTAGGCCCGCTGGTATCAGTCACTCTGGGGGCTGGTATTGGGCTACATTCATGCTTAAGCGATATGGGGCTTAAACGGCCTTTGTCTCTGACAATATGAGTGATAGGGATGTAGGAGATGTTCTCGTGCCTGCTTTAGTTTTGTTTTTTATTAAGCCCTGAAAATAACAGCTGCTTGTAACCGCATAGCAGCAGCTTGAATTAATCATGTCTAAAATACAGTATTCCTTTTCCTAAAAGGAAAATGCTAAAGAAATAAAATGGAACCATAATTAAAAATCCACGTAGTTTGAATTTTGTTTTGTACTACTATGTATATGGTCTAGAAATTAATATTAGCTCTTATACACAACTCAGTTTAAGGAATTTTTGTACTATCTATCTTCCAGGCAACTCAAAGCTTTCAGGCCAACTTGTCAAGGTCCTTGATGTTTTTAAAGTTACCTGTGCTCCCACAAAGTGAAGGTGTGATCCTCAGATGGTAGAGTGACGCATGTCCTCAACCTAGAAAGTGGTCTTTTTTTAGTGTGAATACCCTCCTCCAATGGAACTCAAAAGCATTGAGAAGATGAGCGCTAAGTGGAGCTGCAGGAGGTCGAAAGATGGGAAGCAGAGGTTAATAAATGACTGAAAATAGACTGTGATGGAATTCTGTTGTTGACCTTTAGGTCCTCCATTCCAGTGGCGCCATCTGATAAAGGGGATAACAGATATGGTCTCATATGTATAAATATAGATTGTTATTTCTGGGTGATTTCAAAAAGAGTTGTTATAATTGGAAACCCTATTTTCTACTTGGTAAAATAAATGGAGGCCTCCTTCTCCTGATATTTTCCTTTTTCAGCTCACCTTCTTGTGCTTTTCTCAACAGTTCGCAAAGGTTACCGGATCCAGGCTGACAAAGAGAGAGACTCCATGAAGGTCCTGTACTATGTTGAGAAGGAGCTGGCTCAGTTTGATCCAGCCAGAAGGATGAGAGGCAGATGTGAGCATCTGTTAGTTTTCTGTGATCTGCGCATTATGCAGGAGTTAGTGTGTAAAGGGGACTTGGGGGTCACCAAACTTGGGCAGCCCTGAGCTTACAGGCTTAGAACTAGCAGGGGTGCTGGTGACACTACTGAAGAAAGTAGCTCTCAGTACACAGAGGGGGAAAAAAAAGGTCTTCTGGTGTGAAGAGCAGAGCAATTCTGTAGCACTTTGGTTTATGTTGGTTCTCTCAATGGACGGTCAGTATTTCTGGGGCTGTGTTTTATCCTGGGGTTTGGAATGCTTTATTAAAATAGTCTCCCTTCTACTCCCTTTAAAATATATTCTAAGTAATGTCTTAAGATGTAGAAGCTTGAGTATCAGTTTTTCCAATGTGAATGGCCCTAGCCTTGAACAATCCAACCATCAGCTCGCTGCATGGAGGCCTCCTGAAAGTAAAAGAACAAGTCTGGCACATAAACCTGGAAAAAAGAGGTTGTTGCTCCTCGAAGATGCCAAACAACAGAGGTTAAAGGGCAAGCAAAGAGGCCGCTCCTCTTGTCAAAAGAACGTTTTGAATCCTAAGTCTGAGGTGGCAGGGCCCCAACCCTTAACTCACCCCCAGCCCTTGGATACTTTGTAGTTGACACAGCTGATTCTTGGGGTGGATTCCAAATTACCGTCTATCATGGGAGACAACACAAGCAGGTCCCGTATGGACAAGCTGATTATCAGAAGGTGCTGGCGGGTGTGGAAGTGAGGTCATTATGCTCTCTCTTTAACTCCTCTTCTTGGAACTAACGAGAGACTTGACGGAATTGTTGGGGAAACAGTCCCAGACTAGAGGAGCTTTATTCAGATTAAGGACAACATATTCCACCCAGTTTGCAATTCTAAATTCATCCTGTCTGCGTTGTATCCATTGCTGTATCCTCCCACCAAACTGACTATAAAAAGACCATTTCCAGATTGGAATGTCAGGAATGCAGATGTCACTGCACTTGACAAGCTAGTTGTAACAATGTTGTCATGGATCCCTGTAAGGGGCCAGAGACAGAGTGAGTCAGGTACCACAGAGGAGTCTGCAGGAAATCTGCAAATCTCACAGCTCAGGGAAAAAGTTAACAGCTAAGGTTAAAACTAAAGGATCAATTCTGGTTTAGGCGATGTCTCCTGTCTCTCTACTTGATTAAAATGGTCTCTATGGGCTTACTGGTCATAAGGTAATGGATTCTTACAGTCCAAGAGGGTCTTAGACATGGCCTAGGTCAACCTTTGTAGTGCACAGATGAGGAAACAGAAGCCTAGGAATGCGGTGGCAATTAAGACTAGATTCCAACTCTTCTGATTCCCAGTCCTGTGCTCTTTCCACAGGAAACTCGAGCAAACTGTGGATGGCTCCGTGGCTGTAACAGCAGTTTCTGTTCAGAGACCACAGCCTTCTAGCTAATAGGACTTTAGAATGCTAGAGCTGGAAGAGACTCTGGGGTTGTTGAATCCATCCCCTCACTAAGGCAGAGAGGAAAAGTAACAAGTACCAATACTCAGTGCCAGTGCCAGAACTGGAACCCTCATCTCCTGAAACCTGCAAGTTAATTTTACAATAACTACATAAAGTAGGAATACTGTTTATTTTGAGAGGTCCTATTCCTGAAAAACAGAGTAAACTATGGGGTGGATCATGGAAGTGGGCAATCTTGAAATCTCTTTATAAAATGGATCTCATAGTTTCAGGTTGGAGCAGGAGAGTAACAGGTTCTGTAAGAACTGAGTTTGAGGTCCAGGCTTGTGAATTTGCTAGCCAGTATGGTCCTTATTTGCTTTGCCCTTCCAAATGGGGGGTTGTTTTGGGGATGTTTTTAGTCTGGGAAGTCCTAGAGTAGGGCTCAGCAAACTATATCTCCTGGGCCAAATATGTTTCACTTCTTTTTTTTTTTTTTTTTTTTTTTGAGACAAGGTCTTGCTCTGTTACCTAGGCTGGAATACAGCACAGCTTACTGCAGCCTCAACTTCCTCAGCTCAAGGGGTCCTCCCACCTCAGCCTCACCAGTAGCTGGGACCACAGGCATGTGCCATCACACACAACTAATTGTTTTATTTTTTATAGAGATGAAGATCTCACCATGTTGCCCAGGCTGGTCTCAAACTCCTGGGCTCAAACAATCCTCCCTCATTGGTCTCACAAAGTGCTGGGATTATGGACATGAGCCACCATGCCCAGACCCACTTCCTATTTTTATAAATAAAGGTTACTGGAATACAGCCATGCCAGTTTACTTATGTTGCATCTATGCCTGCTTTCATGCTACAGTGGCAGAACTGAATGGTTGTGTCAATATGGCTTGCAAAACCTAAAATATTTACTCTCTGGCCCTTTACAAAAAGAAGTTTGCTTATCCCTATCCTAGAGTTATATTATGGATGTTTGTGAGATGGGGACAGGTCGATGTTCATGTTCAATTTGGCAGAAATTTTAGCACAACATACAACTTAGACAATCCATCACTGTGAATAGTGAAACATAGATCATCCTCACTATCTAGAGAAATGAAAAAGGTCAAGTATTCCCTGAAGTTTAAGGAAAGTTCTGAGCCAATGACACAATTTTCCAGTAGGCTCATTTGGTGCATTTTAAAGGCCTCTTCTTTGTGTACTGGAATTCATGGGGATTGTGAGAAAGGGAAAGTTGTAGATTTTGTTAATTTATAGTATCTGAGTTATTTTCCTTAAGATAGGCATAGTCCCTTCTTTTTAGATGGAAGAAAAAGTTAAAAGTTAAATTATAATTAAAAATCAACTGATGGCATGATTAATCTGAATGGCATTCATGGTAAACGCTGTGTCCCTGGTGAAACAGAACTAGGTGGCTGTGTTGGGAGGCCCTCCCTCATCTTTGTAGAAAAATCCCCTGGTCCTCCACGTACTCTTCGGGATAGTGAGGGGGGAAAGTTGAGGGAATCTGAGACACACATTTCCACATCTTATCTTGGCCTACCTCTCACTCAACAGCTAGGCCTGAAATTTGGTAAATACTATTTTTGATAATATTTTGAAGTTCTAATTAAAGGATTTTAGAAAACAAATGGATTCAGTTACATTGCAAATAGATTTGGTAGATTTAGTTTTTAAGTACAATGAAATTCAATACATTTCAAAGTTTTATAAATAAATAGTTGAGTATTTATTTATTTTTTCCTTTCCAGACTGTGATTCTGGTCCATATTCACAAGTGCTTTTGCAAAAAGCTACTTAGGCCACTTCAGGAAATGAGAAAGCTGTGACTCGATACCCCCAGTTTTGGGCTAGGGCCAGAGTTTAAGTAGAGGCCCACAGGTGTAAGTACAGCCCCCTCTACTTTTCTTCCTACACCTCCAAACTGCTGGCCTAACCACTCATGGCCACATACCCCTGGAAAGCTTTTTTGGGGGAGAGGAAGAGGTCTGCCCAGGTCCTAGAAGTAGACTTGGTTCTACTTGGGCAGCATCTTCCAGGTTCCTAGATGAGCATGGGCTAGGCAGGGGGTATATGGACACTAGGAACATGTTTCCCCTTGACTGTTCAACTACTCTGTGGACTTCTTGCTCTGTGGGGAGGAGCACAGCCAAAGGAGGCCAGAATGCGGTGCCTCTACAGCATGTGGCAGGATTGGCTCTGAAGGCCCATCTTAGGACTGGGCCAACAGTAAGGAAGATGCTGTGATCTATGCTTCTGTCTCTCTTTTTCTGCTTTTGGCTTAACATGCCTGGGATCAACACAGCTCATCACAGAATTATAAACGAAGAAGAAAACATTTGAACAAGAATGATGATATACTAGGAGGAGGCCAGCAACAGAGAGCCTGAGTCCTGGAAAGCCTGCCTTAGGTGCAACAATAACAAACTTGTTCTCCTATTCCAAGAACAGAACATGTAGGAACCTCCCGCTCTGTAAGCAAGTAGGCTTCAAACTGGAGCCAATTCCTGCTAAGAATACAAACACCACTAGTTCAGGTTTATAACCCACCCTGGACAGGAATGAGGCAGGAGTTTCCTGGAACCTAGGGTGTTCCCCTTAACAGGATTCTTTTCCTATCTAACACAGAGTAACACTTAGAAAGCTCTATCATGCCTGGTTTTGTCCCTACAGATAACAACACCATCTCAGAACTCAGCTCCCTACATGACGAGGACAGCAATTTCCGCCAGTCTTTCCATCAGATGAGAAACAAGCAGTTCCCAGTGTCTGGGGACTTGGAGAGCAATCCTGACTACTGGTCAGGTGTCATGGGAGGCAGCAGTGGGGCAAGCCGTGGGCCCTCAGCCATGGAGTATAACAAAGAGGATCGGGAGAGCTTCAGGCACAGGTGATGGCTGTGAGGGGCAGGTCTGGTCTGGGTGTTTGGGGGCAGGAGCTGGAAGGCAAGGAAGATGCCATCCAGTTCATCTCTGTCTCCCATTCCAGGTTATGCTGACACATCTCTCTTTCTACAGGATATTGAACAGCTCACATTTGTCAAGACAGGAAACACTTGTGACAACATGTGTAGAAGTAATTATTCAAGACCTTTGAAATGGGTCCCCTAGACCCTTTAATGAACCTTAACATATCTCTGCCCTTCTCATATATTTTATCCTATAACTTCTAAAAAAATCGCACCCATCATCTCCATCTTTTTTGAGGGGGATGGGTAGAGACAGAGTTTTGCCATGTTGCCCAGGCTGGTCTCGAACTCCTGAGCTCAAGGGATCTGCCCACCTTAGCCTCCCAAACTGCTGGAATTACAGGTGTGGGCCATTGTGCCTGGCCATCTCTCTCATTTTTGATCATTTAGTATATGAAAGGTAAAATGCCGAACACTTCTTTTGCATTTAATTCTCATAACTCTAAAGGGCAGCTACTATTAATGTCCCCATTTTAAACTGGAAAAATAGAAACTTCCAGGTGCTAAGGCACTTACCCAGGTAATGTGACCAACAATTGTGGGAGTATAAGATTTGCTATTCCCCCTAAATAGCACCTTCACCACTCATCTGTCTTTTGCCTTAAAAGACAGTAGATACTGCCTTTCCTTTACAAATTGCAAGGGTCCCTCTCCCCTCCTGTCCCAGTAGGTAACTTGGCCCTCGGCTCTGATGGGGAAAAGGCCTGTGTGTCACCACACATTACAGGGCCTCCTGGGACCACAACTGTTGTAGTGACACTTGCGCTGGCTTTGAGGGTGGAGTGAGATGTGTGGTTGTCGACCAGAGGTCACAACATAATGACCAGAAGGCAGCCCCATGGTGTGTCGGTATTCCATGGGACACAAAATTTCTATCCACACAACCCCATTTTGAAGCATGGCACACGTGTGACCGGTTGTCCCCACTTGACGTTCTGGGGTATGAGAGGAGCCGGGAATGCTTCATCCAGCCTGGAGCAGAGCTGTGGCTGGGGCCAAGGTGCCTGAGTGCGGCCCCAGGACACTATGGGTGCTCTCAGAGCTCAGCCTCGAACTCCCGGCCTCAAGCTTGGGGGAGGGACGGGCCGTCTGACCCCAACCTCCTCTGCCCGCAGCCAGCCGCGCTCCAAGTCTGAGATGCTGTCGCGGAAGAACTTCGCCACGGGGGTGCCGGCCGTCTCCATGGATGAGCTGGCGGCCTTCGCTGACTCCTATGGCCAGCGGCCCCGCCGGGGCGACGGCAACAACCACGAGGCGCGGGGCGGGAGCCGCTTTGAGCGCTCGGAGTCGCGGGCGCACGGCGGCTTCTACCAGGACGACTCCCTGGAGGAATACTACGGCCAGCGCAGCCGCAGCCGCGAGCCCCTGACCGACGCCGACCGCGGCTGGGCCTTCAGCCCCGCGCGCCGCAGACCGGCCGAGGACGCGCACCTGCCGCGGCTGGTGAGCCGCACGCCGGGCACCGCGCCCAAGTACGACCACTCGTACCTGGGCGGCACGCGGGAGCGGCAGCCGCGGCCCGAGGGCGCCAGCCGCGGCGGGAGCCTGGAGACCCCGTCCAAGCGCAGCGCGCAGCTCGGCCCGCGCAGCGCCTCCTACTACGCGTGGTCGCCGCCCGGCACCTACAAGGCGAGCTCGTCCCAGGACGACCAGGAGGACGCGTCCGACGACGCGCTGCCGCCCTACAGTGAGCTGGAGCTGACCCGCGGCCCTTCCTACCGCGGCCGCGACCTGCCGTACCACAGCAACTCGGAGAAGAAGAGGAAAAAGGAGCCCGCCAAGAAAACCGTGAGGCCGCGTCTGCCGCCCCTCCTCGGAGGGGGCTGAGCGGGAGCCGCCGGGGCAGGGCGGGCAGCGTTGCTGTCCCGGGCCGGGCCGGGGAGGTGGCGAGGCGGGAGGCCTCTGCCCGGAGAGGCTGCCGGGGCCTGACCAAGGGAGTTTGAATGCGGATGTTAGGCCCGGTAGCTTTTCAACCTCATTCTGTCCAGGGCCAGAGGAAGGAAGGAGCATGCGCCGGGAGAGGTGAAAAACAGGCAGAAAGTAGTAGGCCTGTAGATGGTTTAACACGGAGAATTAGGTAGTTAACCAACTCAGAAGCGCGTAGCGTCAGCGATTCCGGGAGCCATCACCACCACCGGCCTTTAGGTGGGCTTCTGAGGTCTGCGCAGATCTTCAGTGCGTGCTTCTGTGTGTATTCCTCCCCAGCCCTGCTTGGGGCAAGGGTTTGTAACCTGCATCAGATTTCCGAGAATCCACATCCCAGAGAAGGTTAAGAGCCACTGCTGTTTGCAAAGGACACCTCATGTTTGTTCTCCTTCGACGTTTTATTGAGTGTAAACTGTAGTCATATATGCGAAGGAAATCCCTTGGTCCCTGCCCAGTTCATTGTCTCTTTTGTAAGTGGCCTTATACAGACTTTATTATTTTCAAAATGCCGAAAGCTGCCTACTACATCCCTCAGCCTGAAAATGGGAGCCCTGGACCTCAGAGAAACGTTAGGGACAATCACAAATATCCACTGTGTGTACCAAGTGCCTCTGACCCCCATGCTTTGGAGACTGGTCTCTAAGCACAACTGCTTCTGCCCCTCCTCAATTACCCTGCCTCCCCACCATTCTGTTTTTTATGAATCCGAGCTGGGCATTTTCATTAATGTTTAGTATGAGGAGAAGGAATATGAACAGAAAAAGGTTTTGACACAATTATTAGCCCTTCTAAAGGAATTCCGTGTATTTCATTTTTCTTTAAATAAAAAAATACAATAACCAAAGTACTATGAGTAGGGAAGAAACTTTCAGGCGATTTCAGGTTTATGGTATACCAACCACACTTGCTGCTGTGGAGCTGTGAAGTAGTTATCCTTAAGGGAGTGAGAACTTATTTTGTGGCTAAGGAACTAAGCCTATCAGATGTATGTTGGCTTTAGCCTCTACTGCATATTAGGATCAACCATCACAGGTCTAATGACAGGTTCTGAGAGTCAGGGGTGCCTGGCACTGAATAGGTTGTGGACTCTGCCCAGTGAACCATCTGTTATTGGTTGTTTTCTTTAGCATGTGGCTTAATGTTGGGCTCTTTCTGCTCTTTCCTAGAATGACTTTCCAACCAGGATGTCCCTTGTGGTCTGATGTTGTCAACATTTCTCTGGATGACTAGAAATCAGACATGGACTACAGGGACAAGATACAAATCTAAGAGCCAGCAGGCCCAGGACCTTCTCTGGCCATCACCTTGGAAGATTTGCTCATCTCTGCTTTGGCAAGGGATGGGAGGCAGCCTTTAAGAGAGGCTGATTTCAGACCTCTGTGCCCATCTAACTAGTTTGAGAAACTTACCAAGAAAGAAAGAATGTGTGAGAACATACATTCCTACATTCAGTTTCTCAACCATAGCGTTTATTCTGCCCAGCCTCCTCCCTTAGCAGAACCAGGACTCTATTTCCAATTCTGAAAGAGACTTAGCTCTGGACTGCTAATCTCCAGAAACTGTCTATGCCTACAGTATGCTTTTCTACACCTCCTGTGCTATACTTAGAAGAATTTATTACTACCAGGAGAAGAAGGCCTTCTGCTGACAAGGGAAGATAGCTTCAAATCAAAATATACCTTTTATCCCCGTCACTTTCCAGTCACTAGTCAATGACTGTTGTTACACTAAAATCAAAAGGCCCTTGGTGAGCTCAGTGACAGTGACCTCTGGGACAATCACAGAAATGACTTCAGTTTGTTCTGAATGACAATTCTTGAGTGGCTAGGACAAAGCAAAAGCGAGTATACTTTTGAAAAGCTGTCTAAGTGGTATTTCCTTTTCCATTCGGAGAACGTAAACTGCTTTTTTCTTTTCTGTTGCACATGTCAGTATCTGAGTCTTAGACATTAAGGACTCTTTTCTCTCTCGAGACCCTGTCCTGGACTTTCCGCAGGTTGGTGCCACACACAGAGCCCTGCCTCCCTCTGCACTCTGGTTAGATTGTCATCGGGTGCCTTGGAGAAATGCTTAAAATACACACATGAAGAAGAAGAGGGGAAAAAGGAGAAAGCAGTAATGCATGTATAAAAGAATGAGAAGGAATTTAAGAGGGAAATAACATCGTCTTATTATATTTTGAATGTGGACCATTTCCCCCACAAACTTCACTCAGTCTTTTCTGGTTTTGTGCTTCACTTACCATAATTGTTTCTGCCATCCCAGTTCTGCCATTCTAGGGCATGGGGGCTGTGGCACATACAGCTTTTGGCCTGACTAGACTGCCACTATGGATGCTTTCAAGAAATAAGAGATACTGCTTTCTCAGGAAGGAGTACTTCCTATTTCCACCCTTGCCTAAATGATAGAATTTGCCTAAGTTCCAAAGCTAGATCTCTGGAGTTTACAGTTTGTGTAGATTGCAAAAATGGCCACAAACACTTCCCTTCTCATCAAGAGGTGCCATCTTTTTCCCCACCCCTTGAATCTGGAGTTGGCTGTGTGATTTGATTTAGCCAGTAGCCCAACAAATGTGACACAAGCAGAGACTTGAAAAGTTCTTGTGCATGGGGCTTGTCCTCTTTTGCTGCTCTTGGGAACCTTGCAACTACCACCAGGTGAACAAGCCTGGACTATCCTGCTGCATGACAAAAGAAAAGGGCCCAATTACCCGTGTCTTCCTGTCTGACAGCCCATCAACTTTCAGCTGATTGCAGACATATGAGTGAGTCAAGCTAATACCAACGGAAGAACTGCCTAGCTGAATGTAGCCCAAATTTCTGATTCCTACCCGAGGCATGAAAAGTTGATGCATTCTGTATGTTCTCCACAAGAACAAACCTGACGCTTTCTTGTCTGAATGTTCATCCCTGAATCCCCTACTCCGTCCAAACTTGTGTTTCTCATAGCCTCTGCTTTTGTTGACAGATTTTTTTCAAAGCTTTTCACCTGAACCCTTGTTGTGTACATGTTCGGGTCAAATCAGTGGAGGATGATGCTTGACTTTGCTGTTCCTTAATCCAGCAGTGGGTTATTCCCTGTCGGTGGATCCATGGACAACCTCTGAAGAAGGTCTCTTTTGTTTTTTACCATCTTTTTTGTCTTCTCCAGAGCCACCCCACTGGAGCTAGGCCCTGTTCTCAGAGTATCGTTCCTCTACTATCCATGTGTACTTCATGACATTTCCAAAAAAAAATTCTTGCGTTTGCAATGAAATAAAGACGTGGCTGGGTGAGGGTCGGGGCAGTGAGCTGGTAGGTGTCATTGCTTGGAGAATTGACCTACCAAAGGACTTTCCTGTTGCTTTGACAAGTCTTGGAGATATCGGGAAAACAGTTGAACTCAGTGCTGGCACTTCCAAGGGCTGGAAGACACAAGCCATAACCCTGGTGCTGAGTTTCAGACTTGCTAGTGTCCCTGGCCTCTGAAAGCTTAGGTCTAGCCTGTGTGTTTGGACCTCAGTTCAGATGGAAAAGATGCTAAAAAACTTCTTAGTCACCAGCTTTGGATTTCAACTTGCTCAGGCAATTTTGGAGAATATTGGGTAGCTGTGGTAGCTATTATCGCTTTATACTGAGCACTGTGTCAGGCTTTTCACCACCAAAGAGCCTCATAGCACCAGCTGCAGAGACCAAAAATAATGCTTTTTTAAAGCTACAGGCATGTATGATTTTGGTGAAGTTTGAGGGTAGCAATGGGAAAGAATTAAAAGAATTATTAAAATTGGAAACCTGCAATTCCAAAGACAACAAAACTACAGAGAGACTGAAAAATACAAAGAAGATCGCAGGCTACTGAAATAACCTGGGGAGTTGGGACCAGGTTGTCCTTTGTAGAACTGCATAAATCATTCAGACTTCCAGGCCTTCAGCGGAGAGAAAAAACAGTTGTTTCTGGGTATATGGACAGGAGTTAAGGCTGAGTTGACAAATCAAAGCTTGCTGTCTCAGCACCCCTGACTTTCCTCTATGTGTCCTTTTGTTTGTTCTCCCTTGAATAGTGTGTCCTGCATAGGAAATGCTTATATTTGTTAGCTTCTTTGTATAAGACATAATATCTGTCCACTAGGACCCTGTAATAGGGGAAATAAGACATGCTGAAGAAAGGAGATTATTTATATAGAGAGTATGAAATAGTGCTATGGATAAATTATAATAAACCCAGAGATTTAGTTTTTTTAAAAACATAAATGGGAATACTTTGATATTAAAGTATTGTGTGTGTGTGTCCATCATCTCATTTAAAAATATGCTCAGCGATCTGAAAAGCCGGTATTCAAAAGTCTGAACTGAAAAGAGGTGAATTAAGATCAGGGAAGGGTGAGCAACAGGGGTCCCGGAGGGATGATGCATAAGCTGCAGTGCTTGCCTATGAGTCACTATGAGTCAGGAACATGCTGGAGGAGGAAGTGTGGATGCAGGTGGCAAGGAGGTGTCTCCTGGTAGATGAGCTGTTTCTGTAGGCCATGCGTGGATTCATTAGGAAGTTGGAGACAATGGCCAGGCACCTGGTGGTGCGTGCCAACTATTCCATCCAAGCATGCTCACAGGGGAGTTCTATGTCGGCTGCTCCTGGGGCTGAATTCTGCGGCTGGGAGTGCTGCTGCCCATCTTCACCAACAAAGGGCAGGTTTCACGGAGATGCTAGGCCTCTCATCCCCCTTCTCATGATCCTCACTGTGCACTTGACGTAGGATTAGGCATTCTGGAGATGGGAAAAGACTGCCACCCACACCCAAGGCACTGACCACATCTGTAAATTGAATAGTCCGCAAAATTTCACATAGGTAATCTGATTCGATCTTGCCTTTAAGGGAAGCTAAAGTCACAGATCCTGTTGTAATTTACCACCACCCTCAACCCAGTTTTTTTTTTAATAGGTGAAGAGACCATCATTGCCATTAATGAAGTCACAAACCTATTAGGTCTTAAGACTCTTAAACTCTGGATTTTTTCTGCTCATCAATGGAAAAAATCATTCCCAAAATTGCCTAACCATAAGAATGAACTTGATTGCTGCTGTTAAAAAGGTATTGTTGGGCCCAGCCTTGGAGATTGATTGGGTGGATGTAGAGCCAGAATTCATACTTTTAATATGCATTCCAGGAGACTCCTGAGATCAGATGCATTTGGAAATTGTTGCACTAAGTCATACCTCTGGTGTATTCCAAACAGCTAGTCCCGAGGCTTCCTTGGGCCTTAGAACTTTTTTCCTCAAATGTCCTGGTGAAGTCTCTCACTCCCTTGGGGCTGGCAGTGGTGAGACACCCAAAAGTCTGGCTGTGACCCTGATGGGCTCACCAGAGTGCAGTAGTAGTGGTGGTAAAACCATCAGGCAGAGAGAAAGGAGTGTCGGGAGCACTCCCAGGGAGCCTGTTGTAGACGTTTCCATTACAGAATAGTGATTTATTGTGACAGTCTCAGAACAGACAATAAGAATTACAGGTAATTTTCTCATTCCCTTGATATATTTTTAGCAAAATTGAAATGAATAGAAGGAAAAGAGGGCATTGGGGAAATGGAAAAAATCATTTTATAAAGCATACAAATTATAAGACTGGTCAATAGCACTTCCTCTTTGGTCTTACCCAAAGTTGGGTAGGCAAGAATAATAAAAATCCCCATTATATATCCTTCCAAAACCAGACTTAAATGCTGCCAGCATCTTACTAGAAGTCTGAAATTGATTGATAGGATGTAGAAATCCAAATTCACTAAAATAGGGGGCCAGCTACTTAAAGTCCTAGAAGGAAAAAATGCCTAGTTTTTTTCTGCCAGTATTCTACCTCCTAGTCATCTGGGAAACTGATTTATGAAGCTTGAAGAAGGGGCTTTGAATAGCAGAGTGGCGCAAGGGTGATGATGAGCTGCTTTAAGCAGCAGCCTGAGTTTTAGCACTACTTGAGGGGGAGAAGGTTAATGCTAATAATATTTGTGTTGTTTTTATGTATATTACTGTTTACATGCATTATCTCTTTTGATCCCAACATCAATTCCTGTGATAGAGGCAGGGCAGATGTGTGGTCTCATTACACATAATGTAAAACTGAGGTTGAAAAATAGTAAGTGACTTGTCCATAAGCAAATGGTTTTTGAAATTATAAAGGCAGGCCTTCTGACTATCTTGTCTCGAGTCCTCTCCAATTCCTATGGGACTGGAATCTGGCTTCTTCTCTTCACAGCCAAGCATCTGGTGAGAAGAGCTGTAGACTTGTTCATATGTCATAGATGTGGTGAAGCTATGAAGACATATACTGTTGCTGCTTCATCCAGCCAAGCACCATTCATTCCTCAAATGTTAATCTTCTGGCCTCAAGTGATCCTCCTATCTTGGCTGCCTAAAGTGCTGGGATTACAGACATGAGCCACTGAACCCAGCTGAGAGCCTCATTCTCATTAGCTATGCTGTGAGGGGTAAATATGTGCTTCAGCTTTTCTGGAGAATCCTTACAGAGAAGTTTCTGAATGAAACTACAGATTCATCTGGATTCAGAATTCTGGACAGGAGCTGCATAACAGCAAAACTCTGGCATCTTCACTATATTTTAAGATTTTAGGTAGAACTAAGAGGAATCAGATATATAGAGAGAAGCAATGTGAGAAAGAAAAAGATAGTGGTTTAGCTAAAGGTTTTCTTAGAGTTTCTTGGTGGGGCTGGACATGAAATAACTAGTCTGACTCATTTCTTCTGGGAAGGCTAAAAGAGACACAAATAGCTTCTCTTTTACCTTGGCTTTAAGGAAAAGCCACTTTATTAACAAAAGTATTAAACACGACTGCATAAGAAATTTCCTTATGAGAATCAAGGGAATAGAAGGGTGGGACAGAGGGACGAGAAGTTGACTTCGTGAGGGCTACCTGTCAGTTTTTGTGCCTTGTTTGTGACATCAAAACTGAAATGTTTGTGTTACTGTTGTCCGTCACTTTTTTTTCTGTGTCAGACATACAAATTGAATTTGTAATGTTTTAAACTAAATAAAGCATTCTCACCTACATTTGTTACCAAGAACTCATAATTAACACAGCAATGGTTAATCATGATCTGACACATTAAATGGCCTCAGCAAGAGAAAGACTCGTGATACTTGTCCTCCTCTGATTGTTGTAAGTATGGTAATAGAGGAATACATATTGTGGGGTTACAGAGGGGGCAGGTACTGACAGAGTAAAAGGTATGTTTTTACGGATCGTAGTAAGCTAGATAAATTCTGTCGTCACTCCTGCTCTCCACAGACTGTAATATTCAGGAGGAGATGAGGGGCAGGAAAGGTGGTTGGATAAAGTGGTGGTACTTAGCTCATTTCCAAGATGGGCACAAGTATGTGCCTGCTAGAAATTGCACTTGGGGGCTGGGCACAGTGGCTCATGCCTGTAATCCCAGCACTTTGGGAGGCTGAGGTGGGCGGGTCACCTGAGGTCAAGAGTTCAACCTGACCAACAGAGAGAAATCCTGTCTCTACTAAAGATACAAAAATTGGCTGGGCATGGTGGCATATGCCTGTAATCCCAACTACTCGGGAGGCTGAGGCAGAAGAATCATTTGAACCTGGGAGGCAGAGGTTGCAGTGAGCCGAGTTCGCACATTGCACTCCAGCCTGGGCAACAAGAGTGAGACTCCATCTCAAAAAAAAGAAAGAAAGAAATTACAGTTGGAGAAGGGAAGAAGGAAGTTATTTGTGGGAGGACATTTTAAGTTCTGTAAAGATTTGAGAAATTCCACAGTACTGTAATTAAGAGGAGGCAATTAAAAACCGTTGTTAGCTAAAGATAAATACTTCAGAGAACTATTAATCCTATTTTGGATGGCTAAGCCTTCTAAAGACAATTCCAGATGATTTTAGGGGCCTTGTCAAGCAGAAAATCTGTCCTTGCTTGAAGCATCTGGGTTCAGTTTTGTTTTCTTTCAGTAGTTAACTTTAAAATTGTAACATGTAGATTTAGCTTAAATATAGACTCTAAAACAGTTGAACTCTGATTACCCGCTCTGGACGTTGTATTATTTTGTCTAAAGTTTTAATTCCATTTTGGTTTTTCAACTTTATAAAATATTTTTGTTTTTATAAAGTATTTGTTTAGAATCACCCATGTGTTTTTTCTACACATCTTTTCTTCCTATATTTCAGAGCTTCCTTTTGAAATCTTTTCTTTATGAAGGATGTTTACTTCAGTGATGATTTGTTGGTAGGATACTCATCAGCCTTTGTTAAATAAAGATCTAAAGGTCTTTATTTAATTTTTGTTCTTGAAAGATAATTTCACTGAGTATAATTCTAGATTGAGAGTTATTTTCTCTCAGGACATTGAAGTTATCTTTACATTCCCTTCTGACTTATTTTTGTTTTTGAAGAATCAATTACCAATTTAATTATCCTTCCTAATTTGCCTTGTCTCTCTGGCTGTTTTAAAGATTTTTTTGTTTCTAGTGTTCTTTGGTTTAATTAACATGTGATCAAGTGTGGATTTCTTTTTATTTCAGATTAGGATTTGTGGTGTTTCCTAAATCTGTGGATTGGATTTTCCATCAAATATGAAAAACTCTCGGCTATTAACACATCAAATATTTCCTCTTCCTTTTAAACTCTCTTGAGAATTCCAATTTAGCATTAGATTTTTTTTTTTGTTCTAGCCCCATATTGTTTAATCTATATTTTGTATTTCCTCTCTCTCTGTCTTCTGTTCCCTATTCAGGTAAATTTCTTCAGGTTTATCTTCCAGCTCACTAATTTTCTTTTCAGCTAGCTCTAATCTCCTTTCTTTGAATTTTAATTTTAATTAATATATATTTCATTTATAAGAGTTTAATTTAGTTCTTTTTTAAATCTGCACAGTCCCTGCTGATAGTGTCTTGTGGCTTACTCTTTTTTTTAAATGCCCTCTTATTTATCTGAAAATGTTAAAGATACTAACCTAAAATTTTATATCCAGTAGTTCCAATATCTATAGTCTTTGTGGATCTAATTTTAGACTTGCTACTTCTACTAATTCTCACAGTTTTTTGTTTCTTTATGGGTTTTATAGGTTTTTGTTGTAAGCTCGTATTTGCTGCAATACCATATGACATTGTGCCAGTCAAGAAAGACCTTTCCTGTTCCTTATCTGCCTTCCTTTTCTCCATAATGATTCCATATATACACAGCAACCCTGGGGTGGGGGTGGGGCAGGAAGAATGAGTGAGTAAAGAAGAAGGAAGTGTGCTAAATGGGAAAAAATGAAAAAGGCACACATACATGCATTTCTTTTTAATGCAAGCTCTAGACTGCAAAGAAAAACTTAAGATGGGGAAGACAAGAGGCTTTAACTTTACATATTCTTTAGAGTTTGATAATATAAGAGAATGGCTGTCTTAATTACAGACATAGACTATTTTAGGGTTTAAAACTGAACAGAAGTCTCTTAATTGTTAAGAGTAGCCAAAGAAATTATGGATCTAGATTTCATTCAAGAAGCAAGGAAGGCCGGGCACTATGGCTCATGCCTGTAATCCCAACAGTTAGGGAGACAGAGGTGGGAGGATAGCTTGAGCCAGGAGTTCCTGAACTGCCTGGGCAGTATAGTGAGACCCCATCCTCCACAAAAAGGTAAAAATAAAAAAAGACAAAAAATAAAAATAAAAAAGCAAGGAAGGACTAGACTCATAGGATGGATTAAAATTAGGTGAAACAAATAATTCATTTTTCCCTATGAGTATCTAATTCAATTTTTATATGCTTTCATTTCAAGAAGTAAGAAGTAGGCTAATTTCAGGTTCTCTTCAAAAATCTTGGCAGAGACATCCTACTAATACTCATCACACCACTTAGGTGAAAATTATATTTTCTGCTGAATTGGTTATAAGCATTTCCTAAATGCTTATCAGGCGGCCCAAGATGACTAACCAAAAATGGCATGAGGTGTGTGGCGGTAGCCAGCAAGTTGCTCAGAGGTGAGTGAGTTAGCCTGACATGCCACCTAGTGGCACGCATCCTCAGGAGAATGACTCCATTGCTAACCTTCCAGTATTGGGTGGAGGTGTACCTCACATTACTTAGGGGATGTGTTTTTGAAAAGCTGTATATGAATTATGTATTTTAAAGCTATATATGAATTTATATATGTTTATTGAAAAACGAAGTATATTAGGAGTTCTTAAAAGTGATATGTTTTTCTCTATACTTTACAAGTTTAGAACTTGCCATATTATGTTTTTGATGCAGCTTCTGTGGATATAATTTGGGGAAAACGTCATGGTTTTTGCTTGGGATCAAGTGGGATTTAGGGTACACACCTTTTGTGATTTAAAGCTATTTTAAAGTGTGCTTTTAACACCATTGCATTACAAATGCTTTCTGAAGTCAGGTCAGGATGACTCTGATTCTGCAGAATTATGGTGAAGCCAATTTCTCTTTAACAAGCAAAAACGATGTCATCAAACTGTACAACCAAAGGACCTAAATAGTCCATTCCCTAGTCTTTGGCTGTAGAAAGATGAATCAGTCTCCTGTCTCTTGTTCTCTTTCTCACTGTCTCTAAAAAACAAGCAAAGGAGAAAATTTCAGAGTCTTATGTTAAAACATTTTACTTTTTTTTTTTTAAAACAATCCTAGCTCTCTGGAGATAGACTTCTTATATGTTCTTACAAATTTTGTATAGAAGCATAGCACCAATGGATTCTGTCTGGCTCTCTTTCTTTCCCTGAGATGTTAATGTCCAGTATAACAAAGCTAGATGGATATATGTGTGTATGTGTGTGTGTGTATATATATGTGTGTGTGTGTGTATGAACAAAGGGGCTGTTCTAAAAACAATGTTAATAGAAATCGACATTATATATATATAATGTCTATAGATACATATGTCAGTCAACATTATATATATATGTCTATATATATATAAAATGTCAATTTCTATTAACATTGTTTTTAGAATAGCCCCTTTGTTCAATGGAACATAGTTAAATTATAATGGACGTTAATACCCAACTCCACCTTCCCAGCCTTTTTGTGTTGCTGGTATGACCTAGATGCCTAGCTTTTCTCATATCCTCAGGTCAAGGCAATAGCCACGGATGTTTCTTTACTTTGGCAGCTGTATTAGTAAATAAATTTTTTGGTTGCAAATGACAGGAAGTTAACTCAGACTAGCTTAAGAACAAGAAAAGGAAAAATGGAGGTCATCTATAAGAGAGATCCTGTAGTAGCTCACAGGCCAGAAGAAGAGCTGTAGGAACTGAGAACAAATCTGGGTTTCAATGTAGTAAGATTCCCTGTCCATCATCTACACCTACTTGTATTTTTACGTTGATACATTTGGATAGACTTACTCCAAAAGGTAAGAATATATTCACTAGCAGTCTTAGAGTCACAACTTTCCAGCTGATTTGACCAAGCAGGCAAAAGGCCTTACTTCTGAGAACAATCCTGGAGAAAGACTGTGGTCAACTCATGTTGAGTCATGTGCCCATATCTGAGCTAATCATGTGGCCAGAGACATGGCAAGTCTGTTTATGACCAGGAAGATGAGAAATGCAATGGACTGGATAGTGGGATAGGAAGATTTCTCCGAAGAGAGAAGAGAGGTGTTATTAATAGAAGAAGTAGGAATAGCGATGCTGGGCAGACACATACAACACCAGCAGCTATCTGCTACTGCATCCAAAAAGATTCTTTATCTGCAGTCACAGAGCCCTGAACAACCAGCCTTCCTGGCTTCCTTTTGTTGCCAATTCCCTTACACATATTATCCCTACCCAAGGCTGCAGGGAGGCTGTTTTCACTGCAGTTCAGAGCGTTCAAATCCTACCAGAGCATTCCGTATACCAGTGAATGTCCTTGGTTATACTTGGCTCATTCTGAATTTAGAAATCCATCTCTGTGTCACTGCCTTTGTTAGGACCTTTCATCTCTTCCCTGGATTCTTTCTACCCTCATTTCTTCTCTCCTACTTCTTGTCTCCTAATTATTTGCCTTCTACTTTTTTTGTTAGAGGTTATAAACAGTTTGAAGAAAAATACTTGATG